GATGTGTCACTGAACTATTGCGTGAAAATGCGCTCAGTAGTGGTAAATCACCTCCCTTTTCTTCACTGAGGGGTTCACTTCAACGAAACACGGTCCTCTACTTTGAGGTCTGTGTAGTGATGACTTTAGTATTTACAATTATCTTTAAGGTTTCAAAATTGAATTCATCTAACTCGAAAAATTTTACTTGACCTTCTACCAGCCTGCTTGAATTAAAAAAATTAGAGTTGAATTTGATTACTCACTCTTCTGCTTCATCGCTTTAAATTATGCTTGTGACAGGAAAGCAGGAAAGCATTCAACACAAAGCCAAACCATTTTGACCTCTTTGAATCCACAAGTTCGGAATGTCCAAGACTTACTGCCTCCTAACGGCTTTACAACATCCGTCTTGCAGTTACTGATGGAGAAGAGCGTCATTGGTTAACGCTATCCACTCCAACACTCTTCTTTGTCATGCGTTCGGGTCCATCGGTTTCATCTGACGTCACAGTCAACAGTACTTTTCCATTGTTTACGTTATTTGTAACGGATGCATAAGCCACAGCTCTGTTTACTTTGCATCGTTCCATTCCGTGAGATGCCGCACACGTACCGTGGATTCGTGTCGTTTTGACTATCTTTGATGTGTAAACCGAACTTTCAACCACCTACTTAAGAATTCTATCAAACCAATTGTTAGCCAGAAAAAATAAGAAATAACATTGTGAAGTAGCAGTCCAAAATTGTCTGTTTTGATGACTTTCCATGAAGTTGGATTGAAAATACAACAGCAGAACTTCAAATAGGAGTGAATACTTGTTCAAAACACTGGAGAGCAAACACGTGATCTGCATGTTTTATTACGATCAAGGAATAGAAAGTGCATTCCTCAAAGGCATGTTTACTTAACCCACCCAATGCGTCAGGGAATTGTGTACATAAAAGGAGGGTGCGCAACGACACGAAACCAGGCGAACACATCATCGCTCTCTGTTGACAATGCTTGCTTTTCTCTCTCTCCAACTACTACTGCTTTCTGCTGTTGGCTTCGGTCAAGGTGAGTCGACAACTTGCCTCCTCCTCCTCCCCCTCCTCCACCTCCTCCTCCTCATCCGTCTGTCCACCTCCACCGTGTAAAACATCTTTCGAGTGCAGCAAACAGTTGTCACCACTGCAAGTGCACCGCTGGCAGTGTGATAGCAGGTTCTGGGAGAAGTGCGTACCTAAACTACGAGTTGGAGGAGGGGGGGGGATAGTTGGGATATAACTACATTGGCTGAAATCATAACAGCATCTCTGTAGACAATTCTTTACTCTCATGGCTTTGTGGAGTAGTCAGGAGAGGATTTTGTAAAAGACAAGTAAACCAGGCATATGTTCGTTTGTTTTCTTTTAGACGAGGAGGATGTGTGTAGTCTGCCGCTGGAGTCTGGGCCCTGTATGGCCTATTTTAAGGTTTGGGGCTTCAACTCCGCAACAGGTCAGTGCGAAAATTTCGTCTATGGTGGCTGCGGAGGCAACGGCAACCGTTTCGACGAGAAGGAGGAATGCGAGCGCGTTTGTATCA